AGTACACAACACACAGCACTTTGACTTAAGTTCTGTATTTCCCCCTTTAATTTAAAAGCAACGTGTTTTAAGGTCAAACAGGCCTCTTAAACACTGAAGCAGTTGTTGTGCTTAATGGGCTGAAGATTAAACTAATTTCTTCTAAATACAAGAACAGTGCATGGCCTGAGTTAGAAGCAAACGTATCCCTTTTTACTCTATCCTTCTCGGCCTTGTGAAAACTTGCAGATCTGCTGTAGTTGATAAGTGTAAATATTCTGTAGTAATTGAGGGTTAAGGAGTGTAAAAACTACACCAACATTGAGTGAAAAGTAGTTTTCAACACTTGACTAGTTCTGGATTCTGCCCTGCTGTTGCAACTCTGCTAGTTCTTGCGTTTTTCAGATATTTTACAGAGAGGCAATTTGTGTCATTATGTCTTGAGTTACTGCAACCAACAACCCACAAGAAACAACTTTTATTCCATATTAAAATGATAAATATTGTCAAATGCTTTATTAAAAGCATTAATGTCAAGTTAGCTTTAATAAAAAATGATTTATGAGGGAGTGAAGATGACTTATGAGGATTGATACTGTTATCACAGAGGAAGTTTTTTTTTTTTCCAGAAATATTTGAAGTGTTGGTATCCTTTTTCTAAGCTGTCAAATGTCTGATGCTTGTGGCTTAGTAGATGAAGTTACCAGCTTCAAAGCTGGTAACAATGTTTAATGTGTAAATTTGAGAATTGATAGGAGGTTATGAAACATTTGTTAGTGTTATGGAACTGCTAACTGTGAGTACTTGTTCATAAAAAGGTTTTATTTTTTGAAATGCAGTGTTTCTTAAATGTTTGACAAAAGATGGCCCTCTTCTCAGCAGGCTTGTAGGCTGAAAGCGTGAAACAAGCATAATTAGTTGGAACAAACTTGAGTCTGGCTTATCTCGGATTTGTTGCTTTCTCCAAGTCAACTGGCACTCCTTAACAACCTTATTTAGTTTTAAGCAGGTATTGGAGTACTGCAGGCTTATTGCTTTAAGAAAATTCTCAAGGACAGAGCACCACATATTTTGAAGGAAGCCTTTGGGTTTAGTCTTGACTTCATATAGCAGGTGGTTTATGGAGCAACTGATTCGCAGTCAGTGTAGCAGTTTCTAGAGTTTATTTAAAAACAAACAAAAGAACTGAGTTGCTGCAAAAATTAAGTTGCTTTTTTTCCCTGGTGTATAGCTGAGCCTGGTATCACTCTGGTAAAAGTGGAACTGTAAATTGGTTCAACTGGCTCTTTTGACATAATAGTTTTAAGTGAGGTTGTACCTTGGTGGCACATAGCTACGGTGTGATTACTGTGTTGGCCAGCAGTGTTCTTCTGTAGACAAAGCTTGAGCTCAGTGCATAACTGTCCTTTTCTAGCCTTTGATGTTCTCTGGTGTAAGCAGACCCCTCTAAATCTGTTTTAAAACTGATTAAACTGTCTGATTTAAACTGAACAATTAAGGTAATTAGGGTAATAAGTCTTCACAAATATGGTATCAGATGTTAACAGTGTTTCTTCCAAAAACGTTATACAGATGAATTTAAAGTGTGTAACAGGAGGAATAACGCTAATCCTCCAGGTGACTTAAGTGTGTTATTTCATTGGTTCTTGTTGGAGTGTTAGGGCTTTGTAATTTAGAAAACAAATTACAAACACAAATCTTTTTAAAATACAACTTTTTTTAAGGTGTGTGTGGGGGGGGGGGAATGAAGAAGCCTCTTGTGTTGAAAACTATAACCATG